GCCAGACACAGAACGAAGTGAAATTGCTCATCGTGAGGCAAACGATGAGATTAAAAATTAATCCTGTGCAAGTGCAGGTTTGAGAGCGTCTGTTGATGATTACAGGGGTCGCTCGGATCGCATGCGAGGTTGATGCTGCGACATGTGCAGAGGTGCAATTGGAACATCCGTCAGTGTGTGCTGGCGTGAACATGTCAGAGTGAATACAGTGTCGAAGGTTTGAAATCTCATCGATGCATATACTATCGCATGTTGAATGCATGCAAAGAACTCACGAAGGATGATTCCGCTGGTAATAAGCTGAGAAATGCCTCGGACAATAGAGAGATCGGCCCCGATGACAATATACTTGGATAACTACTCTACACAGGTTAATTCGGATTCGGACCCGGACTCGTATGGCTGATCTGAATTGATGGCATCCATATCCATTGGTGAGAGGGTCACAGCAATTGCGTTCTTCTACCTCTGGGCGCAATGAGTGACACGGGAAAAACACTTGGGATGAAATCAAATGGTAATTTCGTGGCGACTTAGTCCAGCCTTATCTGACAGTTTGTCGAAGTATGCTGGTCAACCGACTGAAGGTTTTCAAGTCAGAAAACATGGAAATAGGTTCAGTTCAGTTTTCTTGAGGGAAATTAAGTCTTCACCTTTGAACCTTCTATTTGTTTACAAGCAACTGAAAAATCTTAAAAACTGGAAAAGGTATCATAAAGGTAGCAAATTTTCAGAAAAGTGTTAACTCTGTACAGATAGACTATCTCAAGTGTTAGTGGTAGGAGCAGTAGTACAGTGGTCGTTTCGATTGCAGGGGAATAAATAATAGCCCCAGTGACAAAAAATCCATAGGTGCATGCCAGTAAGCGTAGGCGATGGATTGGAGACAATAAGCGATTCAATTTAAAATGTTACTGAAATATGTCAAGTAGTATTACAACAACGGGATTTATCAAGGTTACAGAGGTCGGGTGGTAATTTAGTGGACATTGCTATACAAATCCAGCTTCCTCTTAAAGGCCTCGATGGAAGCAGATATAACGACATTCGGAGGCAGGGTGTTCCAAGCTTCAAGCACTCTGTTAGAGAATAACTTCCGTATGTCCAGCTTGGACCCGGTCACACGTAGTTTGAATGGATGACCTCGTAGGTTTGTGGTGGTTGCTAACTCTAAGAAGTCCCCCGGTACGAGGCTGCAGTCCTGACCGCGTATGATACGGAAGGTTTGTATCAGGTCATCCCGTAACTGCCTGTATCTCAAGGGAAAGAGATCAAGGTTAGCTAACCGCGTTGCATATGGTAGTGAGCCCTGTCCTGTTACAAGTTTCGTTGCACGCCTTTGAACCCTCTCGAGGATGCTGAGGTCCTTTGCGGTCCAGAGTCTCCAAGCTTGGATAGCAAATTCCAATTTCGGCCGCACAAACGTTTGAAAGACTTTAACGAGGCAGTCTTCATCAAAGGCAGAGAAAGCCCGCCTGAATAGGTAGAGAACTGACATTGCAGACTTGGCTACCTTTGTGCAGTGCGGCGAGGGTTTGGGTGAGGTCGTAATCCATATTCTCAAGTCCTTCTACGGGTCCAGTTCTTTCAGTCGTATATCATTCAGGCAGTAAGCCATGTGTTTTGGTGAGCGGACTCTACCGAACCGTAGGACATTGCATTTTTTTATCATTGAACGGCAGAAGCCAGTTCTTTGACCACTGTTGGAGTCGGCAGTTAGAATGACGCTCCAGAGCTTAATATAATCCGCAAACATGGTGGCACCACAGTCCAGTTCACTAACGCAATCGTTGACGTAAATAATGAGCAGAGTAGGACCAAGAACAGATACTTGGTGAACACCGCTATCAACGGCAACCCCCGTCGACTACTGGCCACCGACATGGATATTTTGAGAACGGTCGAATAAGAAGCTTTGAATCCATTTTAAGAGGTTACCCCTAACGCCTGTTCGGTTCAGTTTGGGCAAGAGTCGCTGATGTGGGACATTATCAAATGCCTTTTAAAAGTCGATACAGGCTACATGTAGCGCATTGCCTTCGTCAACTGCCCGAGTCCAACGCTCCAAACAGTAGTGCAAGTTAGTCACGCAAGACCTGCCACTACGGGACCCATGCTGCGCATCAGATAATAGATTATGCTGCTCTAGGAAGCGTATTAGCTCTCGCTTAATTATTTTTCCCGTGATTTTACAGCAGGTGCAGACGAGGCTAATTAGTCTGTAATTGTTTGCAGAGGCTCCGCTGCCTCCTTTATACAGCTGTGTGATCCGCGCAGATTTCCAGTCGGCGGGTAAACAGCCAGCATCATACGAGGCTTGAAAAAGCATGGACAATGGTTTGGCTAGTTCAGCAGCGAGCTCCTTCAGTAACTTAGGCGGTATGTCATCTGGACCGGGTGATTTCGACTCATTTAGCGATATACACAGGTAAGGAGGTGAGTGTAGTAATTGGATGGAGGCAAGGGACCTGCGACATCCAGACGAGCCAGGCTGAACCAGGCGTGGGGCTTAGGGAAGGTGCCACTTGGGTGATTGTTGTCGTGCCGTACCTTGTTTCACTGAACACTCAGACACGCATTGGCGTCATTATCCATGCCAGGCCAGACAAACATTTCCGTGGGTCGCCTTTTTGAGGCCCGAATCCCAGGGCGAGAGATTCCTTGAAGGGATTGAAAAGCAGCTTAAGGCATCGGGCCAAGCACGAAGGGCTATACGAGGAAGTCCAGACGTCGCAAAGGATTGTGTCGATGCTGGACCAACACGGGGGTTACTTCAGATTTTGGCAGCGTTATCGGGAATCCGCACCATAACAAATCTCGGCATTCGGGATGCGATGACAGGGCCCAATTGCCGGCCCACGGAGCGCCCATTGAAATCCCTACCGCTCTCCTCCCTCCCCACTTTTGTTGTTGGTTAAAATCCTAGTCGAGTGTTTGTTGTGGACTAGAGGGTGTGGTGGCACTCTTAGGTGCGGGCTCGACCGTGCCATCCTCCTGCGCCCTCTCCCGTCTCCGGTCTTCTTGACGCTGTCTTGACTACGGGTCTAGGGAGGAAAGGAGGAGAGGGTGTAGCAGATGCAGAGCAAGTCTACTCTCATTATAAATCACGCGCAAGTCACCGTCCCTGCTCTCAGCCTGCTGTGGAGCACACGGTGGACATTGTCGAAAACGACGGTCGAAATATCGGTTGGGAGAACATTTACAAGCTGTCGCGGGACATTTCACACGGATCAGCCTCGTCGGACATCTTCGGACCCAATGCAAATACAATACGACAACTCTGCCTACTAACTCCTCGAACACGCCACCGCCACTCCCGCCGCAACCCACAGGACGCCCAAGAAGGTGATCACCACCAACACTGCAAAACGAAGGCCCGACGTCGGACGCCGGCGCCGCAGCCAGTGCACACCGTCACTTACATCATCAATGTCACACCCACGCGACGAGGGCTACAAACCTCCTAATTCCCACTATCGGCGAGAACATTCCCGAAGCCCGCCAACCAACACCCTCATCCTCACAACCACGTCCCCATCACCGGCGGTGTGGTTTCGATCCCAACCTGTCCCCATTGCGATCACACTTTCACATCACGCCTCGGCCTAGTCGGTCACTTGCGATTCCACCATAGTGAGACCGGCGAACTAATGCCAGAGTCACGGCACACACACCCCGCAGCTGTAACCGCCTCAGCTGTCCACATTGCCGAAACACATTCAGTCGTCGCACAAGCCTACTCGGCCAGATACGTATCCACGACAGCAAAACTCACTGCAATGTTGGTATTCCCACAACACCTTGCACATCCGACAACTCTGCCATCTCCAATACTGCCAACACTCCTATGTCGGCATCGTTAGCACAAGCACAACAGCAACCAACCTATCTTGTCCACACTGCCGTAGCACATGCACATCACGCATCGGCCTGGTCGGTTACTTGAGAGTCCATCGCACAGAGGCTGGCAAATCAGTGCCAGGAGCAGTAGCCTACACACGCCGCACCTCCCCCCAACTTCCCACAGGTCACGGGCATTCGGTCATCTCTTGGGCTTACCTGTCTGAGAGCGCATTCATGCATATCCGTGGGAAACCACTGCAGGCCAAACTCATACTTCTCCCCACCAACACATACACCCCACATGGACTGGTCCTGCATCATCCACCGGGGGCGCGGAGCAGGTATATCGGGAAGCGTTTTATTGGGCTAGTTTTCCTTGTTGCCTCTGGTACCTTAACACGTGCAATTCGAATGTATCGGACAATCAACTGATGCATGGGAGAGGGAAGAGAGACTGCTGTCTGCCATAGGGACTCAGTATCCACGGCAGTCAAGGCATATTTCTCACTATTAACAACCTGACGCGCGTCCAAACTGTCACGGTGCGCTAAAAACCGCGGTTTGGAAGGACGTCAGCTGACGGAATAACTCGGTCTTCGCCTCAGGACCGATAACCAGGTTACAAAGGCTCCATCTCAAGGTGGTCACTCAGTTGGCATCCGAGCCTCCTTGTTTCTGCGGAACTTTCGTCCACCGTGCTCGGACCAAGCGTGTGCGGCACATGTAGACGTCCAAACCCAACTTATACCGTCCTGTCGCCTGAGCCCGGCAGGTGTGGGAGAACGAGTTGGGTGGATGCAAAGCAAGTCTGCTTCGCCCTGTGACACATTCATGCGGGTCAATTTTGTTGTAGCAATAAATGTGTCCATTTGTCATGGAGCTGGGTTCCCAAGTGTCGGCTCCACTCGCTCTTCACATTCCCATCCAATAGTGGCTTGTCTGAGTCAGGTCGAATGATGGCAAGATTGATCACATTGATTAGACTGTCCAAATAGTCAATGTACGAGTGTTAAATACGATGCGACGTCTCGCCCATGATAAGGATGTTGGCAAATTTTACCGCATGTCTTTTGTATGAATATTGATTGATGGGGTGTAAGTGTGACCAGTTTTGGGTTCTACGCAGGTGATGGATGCGCCTAACTGGAACCCAACAATTAAATGTGGTCCCTCGAAGTTAGGCTCTGCCTAGCGGCCACATCTAGGCGGCATGTGAAAAAGGTCGCTTTGCTTGCATTGGTCCGACGGTCGATGTAGGCTTTGTGTAATCTGTGCTTTTCGGTGAGTATGTTGCTGATGGGTGCGTCGTTGTCGTCAAGCCGGTCCTGGTGTTGACGACGACCGCGTCCGAGGACATACAAGGCAGCAGACTGGACGACGTTCCGTAGTTGACACCACCGTGTCTCCACGGCGGCCTTATCGTCTGGAGTCTGTAGGTCTTCCGGTTGCTGAAATTCGAGGGCTGAGCAAGCGAATTCAGCAGAAAACTGTTTAACTTACCCAGTGGTAGCTTTCCACGTGGACTACTTAGAGGTTTCAGTCGAAGCCTCATCTTGGAGATGACGTGGCGATTGCGACCCAGCTGTCGGCGTCGCAGATCGCCCTGGTCATCAGCGCGTCCCGTCCATCTCACTTCCTGGAGGGAACAAAGTCCTGCAACTGCCAGCGCTGCGGTCGTGGCGTATCCAGGTTGCCTTCTCCAGCGTCGGAAGGCGGAAGGAGGTGTTAGTTAGGAGGGGATGAAGTTTCGCGCAGGTTCGCAAAAGGAGGAGACCGTTATCGTTATAGCTACCGAGACGATGGGGACCCAACACTTCCTCACACATAGCGTAGTCTGTCCCGATGCAGGGACTGAGGTTCCCAGGGGGCGATCAGCGTATGTGCCTTCGAGGCAGTGGGCAGGAGGGCGTGCAAGTCTTCGCAGAACTTGCTCCTTACCTCGTGGGATTTGGTCATTGGTGAGGCGTAGGTGCTGATGACAGTGACGAATTTGCTTACCCAAAGAGGCAGGCGTAGGGCCGTGAGACGGTAGTCGATGCCCCGCAGCAGAGAAGACAGTCATTCCGGATGGCAAAGGTGACGCCAGCGTCGAGTCGGCCGCCTGCTCCAGTCGAGCCTTTTCAGAGGATCGGGACTCGCTGAGAGCAGCGATGTCTACTTTGTAGCGTGTCACCTCTCGACGGATTAGTGCTGTCCTCCTTTCCAGCGGGTTTGCTACAGGGAGTATCTAAAAAAACGAACTTTCTAGGCTGACAGAGTGAGCAGAGTTAATTTAGTATCCTGTGGGATGGGACGGGGATGAAGGAGAGGATTATTGTTTAGAGGGAGAGAGAGGGGGTACACTACATTTTGAAAGCATAATTCCAAAATTCTCAGCAAAGACCTCCTTCATTACCCACGGCCAGAATACAAAGTAATAGATGATGAAAGAGTAAACGGGTTTCCATAAAAACCACTAACACTTGTGACCTACCGGCAGTTCGACCGTCGATTCCGACTATGTCCACCGTGGTGTTACACAGCTAGATGTAGCAGGCACGGGGACTTCTGCGTTAACTAGTTTATAGTGATAGTAGGCTTGTAACCTACTACTACTACTACTACTACTACTAATACTACTACTACTACTACTACCACCACCATCACCACCACCACCACCACACGACATATCCCCCAAATAGACATCCCTACATCCCACTCTTGCTCTCACTGCTGTAGCGTGTTTTGAAGGACCAAGAGGCTTATAGTAAGATGAATTTCGGAAGCAGATTAAAGAACATTTTATGATTGAGTAGCTGGAATGCGACCCAGAATTAAAGTCCATTGAACTATAATCTCATTCACCTCACTCGCTCGATTATTCAGTGAAACGCGCCACCCAAACCAAAGAAGAAAAGTTACGCCTCTATAGTTATCAAGGATGTTAAGTTTTTTATGAGTACATGATTGCTCTCTAGACATGACAAAATGCTTCGCCTTTGTTGGAGGCTAGGAGACGTCATACTCACTGGATGCATGGCTCTCAATTTGGTGTCTCTCACGGGAGACTTGATCGCTAAGACCTGTCACAGTGGTACCAAATCGCAGTTGTTCACAAACTGATGAATATAATTGTGCACTTTACTCGGTAATCCGTAGATATCAGTTCCAAAAGAGCGTTCGTAACCCCAACAACCCTTCAAGTTACCGTCACTCCACCGAGTCTCCGTTTTCTAGAAAAACGAATGTCTGCTTCTTCGTTCTTTCTATAAAACAACTGCTTTCCGGTCTAGTTTCCCTTTGTTCATCTACATTGCGAATATTTAAGGTCTCACTTCAGTCCGTGTGACCATATCGAACCGTATAAATTATTCCTGTGATTTGGAATTGTATAATAGCTACCAAGCTACGCGCCTGAGTGAGTTAATCATAATCTTCGGTTTCATATCCACCGCTGTTCCGGCCAACAGAAGTTGTCAAATAAGAATCAGTAGGAGGAACTCAAAGGAAGTCCATCGAAAACCATGAAACGAGCCTGCTGTACGCCGATCTTAGTAAATTCTCTACGATCCCTCCAGTTTAAATACTCTGAACGATAAGCAATTTAAGCAATTATCTGCAGTTAAAAATTTTAACCTATGGAATTGTTAAAGAGTAATTCTTGGGTTTCATACCTCTTTTTCTCCAGGATTACTTAGTAAACCGCCCCGTGCTCCAGACCACATCTCAACATTTTGCCCTACCTGCCCACACACTTACGTACACATCTCTGAGTCACATATGAACTCTCTGCACACCTCGCGCTACAACTCGTAACAGTCCTAACTCTTTCCGGTAGCAAGCATGTGATCTCGAGTCGTCGTACCGTTATTTCCAGCGCAACGTCACCTGGCAGAACATGCGTATATCACGAGGAAAGCGTGCTTTTTGTGCATTCCACTGCATTACTTGGCGCCGGGGTCGGGTGTGGCCCGCGCAGACGGACTGTCTAGCTCTTCCAACCACCATCAAGGGGTTCACAGGCTTGGGCGATTGGCTGGTGCATGAGAGAAGGACAAGCGAGTGAAGTCAAAACTGGGGAATCCATTCTCACGGCACCCAAAGCATCACCAAGATAAATTTGGCGCGCTTGAACCAATCACGACGCACTAAAAGTCGTGGCCTGGAAGACCTTCATTTGGCGGGATTACTCGATCCTCACGGTCAATACCCTGAATGCATGTGGGGTGATCGGCTGGAGCACTGCGAACTGGGCTCAGTAGTTACCTCCTTTATGTGGATTCCATGGCACTGCCACGCACGTAGGAGCTGAGCCGCCCCCTATGAAAGCTAAGTACATTTTCACATTGACCCAACTGTGGAAAACTCGGCGCCTCGGTGGAATTCGAACCCACGCAGTAGGAGGAAGGCTTTAATACAGCCAACGCTCTAACCACAGTTTGGTCAATATGAATTATTCTAAGTCTGCCAAAATATCTATGAATTTGTACATTTTGTTGGGGACTAGGTTGCATGTGACATGCATCGGTGGGTTGTTTAGCTCTGTCGGTCACTGCGCCCAAGCCAACAGCCCATCTTCTTAACAATGTCTTGTCATTGGAGCACGGCGGTTGAGGAAGGAGAGATTGCGGCAGATGCTGCGCAAGTCTGTCTCGTTACAAACACAAGTTGCCTTTTCTGCTCCCACTCCATGGAGCACACCGTGAATGTCGTTGCTCGAGCCGGTAAAATTCTCACTTACCCGAAAAAACACTTATTTTTGGAGTAACTTAATGCTTGAAAAATAATTAAATTGGCTAGGGAAAGTGTACACTGAACCCCAAACTCAAAATTAAATCATTAACCGGAATTATATAACAACCCTATCTAGACTTCTTCCTTAGAAATTCGAGACGGCTTGGGTGGGATAAAAATAAATTACTTGGCGATAGTCGATCAACTTCACATTTGACCATCTGTACAATGCAATGTCTAATCCGTCTTGACAAACTTTATATTGCCCTTTCTCCTTCATAATCTGACAAGTTAAGAGTACTTCGCTATGACAACAAAACGTACCTATCACCCGTCAGTTACTTTGGTCGGTGAAATTTCGAAAAAATTGGCAAGGACAGGAGAGCTTAATAGACAAGGACTTAAGCGATGCCACCCTTAGCGGTCGCTTCGCGATGGGAGCCTGTTACGAATAGGGGCACAGGCATGTTTTATTGACTATTTACAGAGAAGTCCAGTTTCATTTTTCTTTTGCTATGGGCACCTCATTATTACTATTTGTCAGAAGTTGATTTAATTAGAAAAAAACTGGTCTGGCTCAGGTTAAATTGTGGATTCTTCATTTTCTGCCTAAGAAGGAAATTAGCCAGCACATAACCATTACAGAACAAAATCTTTGGGTTATGCTCCTGTTAGAAGAACGAAGTACGGCCTTGTCTGCCTGGAGCGTACTTCGAAGGAAAAACAGGAACGCACGTAAGGGATCTTATTATTTTCTCGAAGTGTAGACTTGCTTGCGAATTTTCGGCAGATGAAAATCCTTCTGTAGTTTAACTACATGTACTTACTAATGTCTATCTACATTTTAATACGAGAAGGCCTGAAAGAGGAATAATAGTACACCCACCTATGTTTATTAAATGCATTGTTAACACGTGGCTTATAGCGGGATAACAAATCTTTGGAAAGTAGGTGGTTTACTTACCCGAAGATCTCTCCCCTTAATATAAAATGTGTATTATTATACAGCCATAACACCTTTTCGACTACGGATCTGCATACTGGCTGACCGAACTTAGATTTTAGCTCGGATTTTCTACCTACGGAAGGCAAAAGTTAATGTCTCTATTAAGACTGTTAATTAATAAAAATCAGTTAGTGGAGGACCACCGACTTGACAATTCTCAACGATGACGAGTGACGAAAATAGAGTGGTTTAAGCTCTATAGTTCAGATAGCAGACATGGTTGATGAAGGTGAAGTGAGCAAACGGAATGTGAGTCCTGTGACTCAAGCCGTCAACGCCTTGGACTACACCGTTCAATCACTCTCTGGATCCCAGTTCAAATCACGTAAGAGTTAGTTCCGAGAGTTAGGCCTAATAAGCCAGACATTTCAATTTCCCCTTCCGTAGTTATCATCGGTAACAACATTTGACTACCTAGTTTGCTACGTCCGTTTTTGACATGATATCAAGATAAAGCGATGAAGGCCATTCGCGTGACGAAGTTTAGCGTTTGAGTTCCCTCAACGCCACCCCCCTCCCCAGCCGATTAACTGCCGACACATGACTGACACCCCAAGTTTCCGTGACCTTAGCCTTCAGTTAATCTATGTCCGAAACGCCCAAGTTGAGGACGGATTCAAAGAAGGATGAATGAAAGCTTACACGGTAACTAAGATCGTTCATGTGATGGCGATTTTTAATGGCCGAGAAACTACGTGTAAAATGAGCCGGCTTGCACAAACGAAGGCAGCGAAACGGCAGACACTAGTTGGCAAAGCTGATGCCACCAGGTTGCTTACGCTGGTGATTAATGCCGGGTTTCAGGCACTGCTTCAACAAATGCAGATGCCCGTTTATGTGCTGCTGTTGAAACAACGGCAAAGCAGTATCGACTAACTTCGTACAATTCACCGAAAAAAGCGAGGGGATCTCTACTTCCTTGTCTCAACTTACAAGATGCCTGCTTATTAAACAAAGGTGTCTCTACCTGACAGAAGCTTTAGCATCCAGTGTGTGGAACCATTTACACGCATTTAGCAGAACAAGCATGGTTTTAGCTAAGTCTCCGCGACAAGCCACTCATTTGCAGCCGTCACGAAATTTTCCTGACCCTAAAAGATCTGCGCGTTGGACATCAAACCGTGTCGTGAAACTGCGCAATGCAGGCATAAGGTCAGAATCGCAGTTGTCCCCACCCGCTCTCGCAACCCACTCGCGGAATTATGAGCACAAGGAACTCGCGACATCATCCGGACATAAAAAAATTGTTTTTTACACAGAACGCGGTCGTGTGCGTTGCACAACACGGCCGCTGAGATTTCGGCCAATCAGCGCAGCAGCAGGACTGGTACCCCCAATCATGTCTCAGTCCGCGCACACGAGGGCGAGTGCAGTGGCTTCTGGTTGTACGGGACCCGCGCCTTCGTCCTTTGCACACATTTTGTAAGATCCAGGCAAAGCTTAGAGTCTGACGCGCAGGACGATCACATGCAACTGAAAGACGGCTGGCGTGTACACTCGATAGGCCTATGATTTACAGAGTTCCGAAGCTCGCGCCAGCAAACGGTGTAGACGAAAAATCAAGACGTAAAACACCTGATTCTGAGGGTTCTACTGAAGAGTCAGCTAACGAAGACTTTTCTATCAAACGAAATCCCTACCTGGTCGCACGGAGCAGCCTCGCGACCCCTGCTGAGGAGAAGCCGAAGCTCAGTTACGAGGTTGCAAGTGACAACGAACCCTTTGAAGAGATTGTCATTCGCGCAGAGACCTTCTTCCCGGAGCTGAAGAACATTGTTGAATCATCCACCAGCACTTACCTATTTGAGAATAATTTCAAAAATCCCATTGCACCAAGAGTGGCCAAGACTCCTCTGGAGGACAGAAGCTCCTACCTCCCAAGAACTGCCTCCTTATTTGCCAACAATCAATTCCGGCGACAGAAGAACCTTCAACAGCAGGGATTGATACCTCCCGGCTGCGCTATGCACCCCTGCACAAATCTTCAACATCAGCATTCTCAGCCCCATCCCAACCAAATGATGATGCAATACAGTGGATACTATCCCCCAGGTCCACAACCTCCACCGCCACCACACGCATCTCCAGTCCAGGGCTCTGAAGTGGAGAGGACAACCTATGACCGTCGCAATTTTCAAGCAGCATTGCAGCATTTCGAGCAGCGTAGCCTTGTCAGCCAACCTCCTTTGAGACCGAGCTCCCTCTTTATGTCCCCGGAATTGCGAGTGATGGATTCAAAGCTTCCACCACCCCCACTGCCACCACCGTCGCTACCACAGCCACCAAGACCATCAGCGAGCACGGCGCACGCAGTCATGAAAAGTGTACCAGCTTTCCTTACAGGTTGCAGTTGTGGTCCGGGGTCAGGTTGCGGGGCTCTAACGTCTGAAGCTATGGTTCGAAGAAGTGACAACATGGCCGATGTTGAGACTATCCAGCAGTACCTGGTTTCTGAGGAGCCGGGACCAGGTGGTGTCAAGAAAGTATTCAGTTTCCCCCTAGGAATGGAGCCCGGAGACCTCACTCTTCTTAGAGCAGCTGTCAGCGCAAACAGACCGAAGGATGCCTACATACCAGAGGAGAACGATGACATAGAGACCCAGTTGGATCAACAGTTACAGGCTGTTCGTCCGGATATGCCAGCGACCAGGTCGTCGGATACTACTGGCTGGGCTGCACCATCAAATTTCACAAACGACCAGACCGTGCTAACTGTTCCAGCTCATACTTCCTCCCATCTTTGTGCTGCAGCTTACCCCATCCGTAGTAAGGAGAGACCTAGAAACCCCGACGGCCAGGTAACTGGCCTTGAGTCGGCCTTGTCCGCTTTGATGTATAATGGAATTGAGCGACCCGTGGACAGTTTCAATTCACACCAGCGCCCCCAAGGCTACAACTCACAGCAGATCAGCTATTCACGGCCGGGTTACACTGCTGGCGCTGGGCTTGATTCCCACCAAACGACGGGTAGCTGGACGCAGAATTTTGATCCCAGGACCTTCACTCACACGACATACAGCACATCACGGTTTAATCCGCTGAATGGTGCTGACATCGCGGACTCCCCTTCGGGTAGACGCTATCAAATGTAAGACTTACTTTAAACACTTTCCATTCCCCTAAACTAGTTCCGCTCCACCCTACTTATCCTTTTGCACCGTGCTGCCTTGTTCTTCCGACTGTGAAACTGTGCTGTTTGGCTTTATCATGTCAGTTAAATGTAGTCTTTTAAAATTCGCTAATCTCAGCTATTGTCGAGATACGTAAACTGAGCAATTTGTACGCATAGCGTCACAAGTACGCACACATTGCCATTCTTACAACAGTAATGGCGATGACGACAGGGGGAGGGGGCAAGGTTAAACAACATTCATGCACGGCTTTACAATCAGAACTGTAGTGAACGGCGACGTATTGCCAACAAGGCAAAGCCGGACGGAAATTGTCATTTTTGACTTCTTAGCAGTCAGCGTCCTGTTATAATTCAAGTTTGGATTTAGATCTAAACCACTGACGAGCCGAATCCCTCGCAGCTACGCCATGCAGCAGCGGCAGAATATCGGAAAACACGCGTGTATGGGCTTTTGGTTAGCAGCTGTGCTGTGAGTATGGCATCAACTTACCCTAAAGATCTAGACTAGTCGATCATGCAGCTCGTATTCTACCCGGCAATTAGTAAAAATCGGTGAACGCCTATCCCTGGGTGACTACTTCTCGGATTGTGGCTCGCATTGTGCCTCCTTTCACGATCTGCAACAGGCAATCCGTGGCAGCCTGTTGGGCCTTGCGCTAAGTTCCCCCGTCGACCCCTTAGGCCTTGATGGCCTTAACGCAATCGGCGAGGAGTTGCCGAGCGCGATATTTCGTTCGCAGCAGGCGACCATGACTACTGCTGTCCCGAGGAGTGGTTGTGACTTTCGCGCGTATCGGAGGGAAATTGTACGGCACTTACCTCACTTCTTCCTTGTCTGTCTTGTTCTAAAAAAATTCAAGACTAGAGGCAAACACGAACTCATTTGCGCTGTACAAGTGAGATCCCCTCAACGCACATGAACCAAATTTCACGAGATGAGACTCGCCATAGTGGTCCTGCTGCTAGAGAGCCTTTTCAACCTGGCTCTCAGTCCGGAGGGAAACCTTCCAAAATACGAAACTTGCGGTATCGCTGTTTTTGAAGTGTGCATCTGGGTTAATTTAGTGAGCGAACGCTGTACAGTCCTAACCGACATCTCTCAACTTCTCCCCTCTCATCATGTGCCAGTTGCTATTCCAAGTCAAGTTGACTGGAGATGAAGTCAAGTCCATTGGCCGAGGAATTAGACAGCCGGTACCAACCTGCACCTCATGTGTTTTGGCTTTTCTTTTCGCACGAAAAAGGGCTACAGGACAAACACTACTTCCTTTTTAACTTCAACTTTCAACCCTCCAGAACCTACTTTTTCAGCAGTTAGTCTCGATACTAGCGTCCTAGGCCGTCGCAAATAGCCGAGGACTGAAACGATTAAGACAAGAAAAACTGCGGGTACCGATATCGTTTGGGGTTCCGGCGGTCGTCATCGGGAACTGTTTAGCGTTAAGGCCTTTAGACGAAAAGGACAAGAACTCAGAGAGCCGATAAACATGGGTTGATTTTCTTTGCAGTTTCATAGTGACCGGATTATCTTTAAAAGCTGCGAATACCAGGTGCTACAGCCATGCACGCATGAAACGCACTGAGAGCACGACAACTTTTTTGCCCTTTTCCCAAATGAAGTGCATATCAGTGGGATGCGGAATTATCGGAGAGTTCACAAGTCACATGACGAATGTTCTACCCAAGTGCAGTAGCCTTTCAAAATCACTCTACGGAAGTAAACCCTCTGGTTACTTAGCGTCCAAAGGATGGAGGTGGCAGAAAACGAACGACCGTCCAAGGGCGAAAGCTGGCTGTCGGACAGTCTTTCAAAGTCTGCGATTTAAAAATGGGGCTCAACGCACTGAGGGTCAGTAAGTCCGGCTTTCCCGAGAATATGCTTTCACTTCAGGTTATATACTACCGCTCGCGATAAATTCAATTGCCGTCCTAATAGTTACAAAATACAACTCGTTCGCGCAGGAGACGGAGTCCGCGGCAGAACCTTTCGGATACAGAGCGCATTGCGACACAGGCCTAAGAGTGCCGTTATTTTTACCTGTAAATTTGCGTGAAGCGTTCAGCAACAAAAGCTGATCCTTATTGTGTAGTAAGTATTCTCGGTGGTTAGTCTGCTTAACGAAACACGTCCAACGCGATTATTCCTGATGGCCGACCAAGCTCTGGGCCAGTAGGCTGTAATTGATATGCCATCCCGGTAAATGACTACAGTACAGTGCGTGACCTATCTCATGAAATGTTGGCTGAAATTCTGAAATGAGTTTTCGATTAGGAAGGATTACTTGGTCGCGGTTGTAATACTGATTATCTGAAGGCATACTCTTATAACATTTTAGACTCGGCAGGATGTCGGCTTTTAAATGCACTTCTTTTCAATCTCCTGCGGAAAGCGTACTCGGTAAAAAATGACTACTTATGTAGCATGCATTTTTCCCATTGATTTTCGATGGTTTTGAAAATTCGAATATATCTTATAGAAACCACAAACAAAAATATGCTTTCTTTTAATCAATCAATAGAGAATCACGTCTTGTTTATATTTTATACTTAAGGAAGGAGTATAACTAGGTTTTAAACAAGTTTCTAATTATGAGACTTTTTGAGACCGCGATATGTCCATTCACATAGCATCGTACCTGGCCGTTTACCACTGCTCCTCATGAAATGTACAACATGGTCCGCATCCATTGTAAAATTTTATGGACTCTGTATGATATCTCTCTAATGGAATAGAAAAATGTGATTTTCTTTACGTGGAACGCATGCACCGTGTAGAGTGAAATCAGTAAGCGCTGATGCAACGAATGATCAGGCTCCAAATTATTCGGCAATAATAAAACTTTTTTAAAACCTAATTATACTCCTTCGTTAAGTATAAAATATAAAGAAGACGCGATTCTCCATTGATTTACTAAAAGAAAGCATAATTTTGTGCATGATTTCTTTAGAACATATTTGAATTTCCAAAACCATCGAAAATCAATGGGAATAATGCATGCTACATTAGTAGTCTTGAGATAGGTCACGCACTGTAGGTGTGCTAACTCATGAAATGTTAGCCAAAATTCTGGAATGCGTTTTCCACTCGAAAAGATCACTTAGGTATGGTTGTGATATTAATCCTCGCACAGCATCATACAAAAATTATTCGGTTACGTCAGAATGCCAGCTTTCGAACGGGTTTCTTTCCGTCCGCCTGCAAAAACTACACCCTGTAAAAACTGACTACTTAGGCAGTATGAATTTTTCCCATTGATTTTCGATGCCCTTCTAAATACAAATATATCTCATGGAAAAAGTGTGTAAAAATACTTAATTGTTTACCCGTTTGGAAGATACGTACTTCTTCACATTTTTGCTTGGAGAAAAGGGATAATTCGGTTTTAAAAAACTTCCAATTCCCGAATACCTTTCAACCCGATGTGTCGTTACACTTGCATTCTGCATTTTCAAATTATAAACTGTATATTTTACGTGTACAGAGCATCGTAAATGCCTATACAGTATTAAGAGGAGATCATATAGGGTTCATAAAATTTAACAGTGGATTCGAGCCATATTATAAACTTTACAAGCAACATAAGTAAATGCAGAGGCACGACGTTTCATGAACGGGCATCTCATGGTCTTAGTCTCATAATTAGAAACTTTTTTAAAACCAGATTATACCCTTTCTTCGAGCAAAAAAATTTGAAGAAGACGTACGTATCTTCCAAAGGGGTAAACGACTAAATATTTTTACGCACTTTTTCCATGAGATATATTTGCATTTAAAAGGGCATCGAAAATTAATGGGAAAAATTCGTACTACTTAAGTAGTGACTTTTTACAATGTAGTTTTTGCAGGCGGACGGGAAGAAGCTCGTTCGAAAGTTGGCATCCAGAGGTAACCGAATAATTTTGATATCATGCTATGCGAGGATTGATATTGCAATCATACCTAAGTGATCTTTTCGAGTCGAAAACGCATTTCAGAATTTCGGCTAGCATTTCATGAGTTAGCGCATCTACTGTAGATGCAAATCCATGTGCAGCACTATATTTACGATGGCCCCAAACAGTTTCCTTCGACATTCACACGGCCCGTCGACTATGACGACAGTCCACTGTTATCTCTCCTCTCTGCACTCGCAGTAATTCAAACCAATCGATGATCCAAATAAGGGCAGTTATGCGGGGTCTCAGAGCCGCTCGATTGACAGTGAGATTGGCGAAATGACACAGCCAGGGTGCTATCCCGGCTAATGCAGCGATTACAATCACAGGAACGAAGCTCAGAAATTCTGAAAGCCTGGCCGGGCTTGTATCCCAGGCTTTGACAGTAACTCCAAGAACTGATCGATGATGGTATGGTCTTAGACACGTAGCAACATCCTCAACTGTTCGCCCAACATCACTTACACCAAAAGAGAGGTGTGAGGCCAGACCTGTAAATGCGTTGTGCATGGAGTTGACTGCTTCCGATCAAAGACGGCAGGGCGTGGTAGGGCGTTAGACGCAGTGATCTAGTGAGTCGGGTTCAAATGCTTGGTCCTCCCCCCGTTCTTGTGGACAGGACACCTCGACTACTGCCTGCTGGCTATAATGCGAGCATTCACGTGGGTTTATGATCGGAGGTCGTCGCCAAGTACCTACTACATCAGCTGCAAGCCATAGTCCTCAACCTAGACAGTAAAACGAGAAGAATAACGAAAAGACCAAAAAATCTGCCCTCCTCCAGTGGGTAGAAAAGACAAAAGGCGTTGATAAGAATAATTCTTAAAGAAAAACGCTTGAAAAGAATTCTTCCATCAGGAACAAAACAGGCAGACAGTTAGCGGACAGTAGTCTTCGCTCCGCTTTGCTTAAGCTTGGTTCCCTCTCCCTCGAATGGTTTAAACTTGGGTGACACATCCTCCTGGAGACAGAAAAAAACCTCGACCTCATTAATAACGCGCATAAAAAAGATAAGTACGGTAC